TTTTATAGTTTAATCACTAAGTATTGTATCAAATGGAAACCAATGCCTAGTATTCCTTCAAACGTAAAGTCCTACTCTGGCCAAGTCAGTGTTTCTCAACCTTCCTAATGCCGCAAAGCCTTAATACATTTCTTCATGTTGTGACGACAACCAACCATAACATTATTTTCGTTGCTCCTTCATAACTGCCATTTTGCTACTGATATGAATTGTAATGTAAATATCTGCTATGCAGCATGTATTTTCATTCACTGGACCACATTTGACACAAATAACCCAATACACCCAAATTTGAATACTGGTGGGGTTGGGGGGAGGATTGATTTTGTCATTTGGGAGTTGTAGTTGTTGGGATTTATAGTTCACCTAAAATCAAAGAGCATTCTGAACTCCACTAACGATGGAATTGAATCAAACTTGGCACACTGAAATCCCATGACGAACAGAAAATACTTTGTGGGCATTGATCTTGAGTTTGGGAGTTGTAGTTGCTGGGATTTATAGTTCACCATAAAATAACGTAACTCAAAAACTACTGGATGAATTGCCGCCAAATTTGGCCACAAGACACCTACTAACCCAAGGAGTTACCATCACTATATATATATGTGTGTGTGTGTGTGTGTGTGTGTGTGTGTATTTGGGAGTAGTAGTTGCTGTGATTTATAGTTCACCCACAATCAAAGAGCATTCTGAACTCCACCAACGATGGAATTGAATCAAACTTGGCACACTGAAATCCCATGACAAACAGAAAATATTTTGTGGGCATTGACCTTGAGTTTGGGAGTTGTAGTTGCTGGGATTTATAGTTCACCATAACATAACATAACATAACTCAAAAACCACTGGATGAATTGCCACCAAATTTGGCCACAAGACACCTACTAACCCAAGGAGTGACCATATATATGTATTTGGGAGTTGTAGTTGCTGTGATTTATAGTTCACCTACAATCAAAGAGCATTCTGAACCTCACCAAGGATAGAATTGGGCCAAACCTGGCACACAGAACTCCCATGACCAACAGAAAATACTGGAAGAGTTTGGTGGGCACTGACCTTGAGTTTTGGAGTTGAAGTTCACCTACATCGAAACAATGATGGATCTGGACCAAACTTGGCATGAATACTCAATATACCCAAATGTAAACACTGGTGGGGAAAATAGACCTTGACATTTGGGAGTTGTAGTTGCTGGGATTTATAGTTAACCTACAATCAAAGAGCATTCTGAACTCCACCAATGATGGAATCGAACCAAACTTGGCACACAGAACTCCCATGACTAACAGAAAATACTTTGTGGGCATTGGCCTTGAGTTTGGGAGTAGTAGTTGCTGGGATTATAGTTCACCTACAATAAAAGAGCATTCTGAACTCCACCAATGATGGAATCAAACCAAACTTGGCACACAGAACTCCCATGACGAACAGAAAATGCTGGAAGGGTGTGGTGGGCATTGACCTTGAGTTTTGGAGTTGGAGTTCACCTCCATCCAGAGAGCACTGTGGGTCCAAACAATGATGGATCTGGACCAAACTTGGCACGAATACTCAATCTGCCCAAATGTAAACACTGGTGGAGTTTGGGGAAAATAGACCCTGACATTTGGGAGTTGTAGTTGCTAGGATTTATAAACCCCCGTGCCTTGAAGGGACTCACTGGAACGAGCCTCCCTCTAGCCTTGCACGCTCTCCCTCGCCCGTGCATGCGCACCGCACTGCCATGTGCCAAACACGCCTGCTCTCCCCTCCTTGCTTGGAGTCTCCGAAATAGCCCTCCCCTTGGCTGATAGGGTTGGCCAATCACAGCGAAGGAGGGCTTTTGGTGGGAGGATTCGCTGTCTGTTTCCAAAAAGGAAGAGAAGGTCAGACGGAGAGATCTCCAGCCTTCTCTGCCAAAGAGGTTCCTAAAACCATCAGAAATATCCCTATTTTTCTTATTTAATGCGTATATTTTATATTTCTTTGTATAAACACATATCTGAAGAAGTATCCCACTGCTCAAGACCTTTTGGTGACCTTTTGTCAGCACCTCAAGTTTCAGGAAATCTAAAATCATAACAGTAAATAAAGAACAACATTCAAAACAGGGGAACTCCTGACAAGAAACAATCAGGGACTGGTAATCACCTCACAACAAAAGATTCCCCCAAGCAGGATTAAGCCAGACCGCAAAAACTACTAGGCCATCAAATGCTAATCAAGGTGGTAAGTTGAAACATTCACACCTAGCTCCAGCAGACAAGAGTCCTTTGTCCCACCTTGGACTTTCCACTGATATAAAACCCCCATTTTCCTAGTTTCCAACAGACCTCACAACCTATGAGGATGCCTGCCATATAAGAGGGCTAAATGTCAGGAGAAAATGCTTCTGGAACATGGCCAGACAGCCAAAAAAACTTGCAACAACCCAGTGATTCCAGCCATGAAAGCCTTTGACAATACATTAAACTATTTCTTCTTTACCTGGTGTTTTCATCCTGCCCCGGTTTGCCATTGGAGAGTGGAAATATGCATAGGAAGCGGATAATGCTTTTTGAATGGCCGGCAGATGCTGCAGTCCCACCTTGCCCGGGAATCCCACCCAGTTGTTAGTGACATCAATAGGGCTCAGCCAATCCTGGCGAAGCCGGTTCCGGCTGGGGCGGGAGTGGGAATTTCAAAGAAATGTACTGTATAAAAATGTCTGTTTTGCAATGTTATGGTATCTCAGTTTACTTTGGCGAATTCCCACAAGTTGGCATCACTTCAGCTGACTTGAATGAAACATCTCAGTGGATTCTTCTTCAACTTGGTAAGACTTATTGATTGGGAAATATTGGGTTAATAGTGTCTTTGTCTCGTGAGGTGCATGGATCTACAGACCGCCCATTGCCGGTATATGCTTATCGGGACTCCGTATCCGCGTTTCAGGTTTCGCTATCCGTGGCCCGAATCTCACTCGGTCTCCTTCTTTGTGTCTCAGATAAGAAATAAAAATGGAACATTATTATTATTATTATGGGTCCAAACGGATCGCCCATTGCCAGTATACGCTTATCGGGACTCCGTATCCACGGTTCAGGTTTCGCTATCCGTGGCCTGAATCTCATTCAGTCTCCTCAGCTGGAGCTTCTTTGTGTCTCAGATAAGAAATAAAAATGGAACATTATTATTATTATTATGGGTCCAAACGGATCGCCCATTGCCAGTATACGCTTATCGGGACTCCGTATCCGCGGTTCAGGTTTCGCTATCCGTGGCCTGAATCTCATTCAGTCTCCTCAGCTGGAGCTTCTTTGTGTCTCAGATAAGAAATAAAAATGGAACATTATTATTATTATTATTATTATTATTATGGGTCCAAACGGATCGCCCATTGCCAGTATACGCTTATCGGGACTCGGTATCCGCAGTTCAGGTTTCGCTATCCGTGGCTCAAATCTCACTCGGTCTCCTCAGCCGGAGCTTCTTTGTGTCTCAGATAAGAAATAAAAATGGAACATCACTATTATTATTATTATTATTATGGGTCCAAACAGACAGGCCGTTGCCGGTATACGCTTATCGGGACTCGGTATCCGCGATTCAGGTTTCGCTATCCGTGGCCCGAATCTCACTTGGCCTCCTCAGCTTGAGCTTCTTTGTGTCTCAGATAAGAAATAAAAATGGAACATTATTATTATTATTATGGGTCCAAATGGATCGCCCATTGCCAGTATACACTTATCGGGACTCCGTATCCGCGGTTCAGGTTTCGCTATCCGTGGCCCGAATCTCACTCGGTCTCCTTAGCTGGAGCATCTTTGTGTCTCAGATAAGAAATAAAAATGGAACATTATTATTATTATTATTATTATTATTATGGGTCCAAACGGATCGCCCATTGCCAGTATACGCTTATTGGGACTCGGTATCCGCGGTTCAGGTTTCGCTATCTGTGGCTCGAATCTCACTCGGTCTCCTCAGCCGGAGCTTCTTTGTGTCTCAGATAAGAAATAAAAATGGAACATTATTATTATTATTATTATTAATATGGGTTCAAACGGATATACTCTTATCGGGACTCGGTATCTGCAGTTCAGGTTTCACTATCTGTGCCCCAAATCTCACTCGGTCTCCTCAGCTGGAGCTTCTTTGTGTCTCAGATAAGAAATAAAAATGGAACATTATTATTATTATTGGTCCAAAATGAATGGATGGGTGCCTTCAAGCCTCATTTGCCATCTCTGTCAATCAAAGAGCCCGGCGCTACCTCATTGGGAGAAAGGGGAGGCGGGACCAGGCTGTAGCCACGCCCCCTTTTCGACCTGAAAATGGCTCCTCCGGCGTTTCATTCCGGCAAGGCTGTCAATCTCCTTATTGAGAGGCGCGCCTCACCCTATAGGCTTTAAGAATTCCAGGCGAAGGCGGGACCAGAATGTAGCCACGCCCCTTTTAAGACTCGCCTCTTTTTTGAATAGGCCTCGTCATGGCGTTTCATTCTCGGCCAGGCTGTCAATCTTCTTATTGAGAGGCGCGCCTCACCCTATAGGCTTCAAGAATTCCAGGCGAAGGCGGGACCAGACTGTAGCCACGCCCCCTTTTCGACCTGAAAATGGCTCCTCCGGCGTTTCATTCTCGGCCAGGTTGTCAATCTCCTTATTGAGAGGCGCGCCTCACCCTATAGGCTTTAAGAATTCCATGCGAAGGCGGGACCAGGCTGTAGCCACGCCCCCTTTAAGACTCGCCTCTTTTTGAATAGGCCTCGTCATGGCGTTTCATTCCCTATCTGTTTTGATTGAGAGGCGTCTCACCCTATCGGCTTCAAGATTTACAGGCGAAGGCGGGACCAGTCTGTAGCCGCGCCCCTTTTTCCGACCTGCCTCGTTTCATTCCCGACCTTGTTGTCAATCTCCTTTGATTGAGGGGCGCTTTACCCTATCGGCTTTTAATATTGGCTGGGGAAGGCGGGACTAGGCTGTTTTAGCCCCGCCTCTCGCTCAATGTGACTAGTCAGCTGATTAGAGGCGCCGTCATTCCACTTCCGCCCGGGGAGCAGAGAGGAAAGAAGGAAGGCGGTGAGGGCTCGGGGAAAGGGCGGAGAAGGGAGCCGGCAGGAGCTGCAGGAGAGCGCCGCGCCCGCCAGCCATGGCCAGCCAGTCGCAGGGCATCCAGCAGCTGCTGCAGGCCGAGAAGAGAGCCGCCGAGAAGGTCGCCGAGGCCCGCAAGAGTGAGTGAGGCCTCTTGGGCCTGCCTAGGCCGCATTCAATGGCCTTGCAGCTTCAAAGCCTGGCTGCTTCCTGCCTGGGGGAATTCTTGGTTTATATACCTGTGGAATGATGTCCAGGGTGGGAGAAAGAACTTTTGTCTGTTGGAGGCAAGCGTCAATGTTGCAATTGGCTACCCTGAATGGCCTTGCAGCTTCAAAGCCTGGCTGCTTCCTGCCTGGCAGAATTCTTGGTTTATATACCTGTGGAATGATGTCCAGGGTGGGAAAAAGAACTCTTGTCTGTTGGAGGCAAGTGTCAATGTTGCAATTGGCTACCCTGAATGGCCTTGCAGCTTCAAAGCTTGGCTGCTTCCTGCCTGGGGGAATTCTTGGCTTATATACCTGTGGAATGATGTCCAGGGTGGGAGAAAGAACTCTTGTCTGATGGAGGCAAGTGTCAATGTTGCAATTGGCCACCTTGAATGGCCTTGCAGCTTCAGAGACTGGCTGCTTCCTGCCTGGCGGAATTCTTGGCTTATATACCTGTGGAATGATGTCCAGGGTGGGAGAAAGACCTCTTGTCTGTTGGAGGCAAGTGTCAATGTTGCAATTGGCTACCCTGAATGGCCTTGCAGCTTCAAAGCCTGGCTGCTTCCTGCCTGGGGGAATTCTTGGTTTATATACCTGTGGAATGATGTCTAGGGTGGAAGAAAGAACTCTTGTCTCTTTGAGGCAAGTGTGAATGTTGCCATTGGCCATCCTGATTAGCATTGAATGGCCTTACAGCTTCAAAGCCTGGCTGTCTCCTGCCTGGCAGAATGCTTGGTTCATATATCTTTGGAATAATGCCCAGGGTGGGAGAAAGAAGTCATGTCTGTTGGAGGCAAGTGTAAATGTTGCCATTGGCCACCCTGATTAGCATTGAAGGGCCTTGCAGCTTCAAAGCCTGGCTGCTTCCTGCCTGGGGGAATGCTTGGTTTATATACCTTTGGAATTCTGTCCAGGGTGGGAGAAAGAAGTCATGTCTGTTGGAGGCAAGTGTGAATGTTGCCTTTGGCTACCCTGATTAGCATTGAAGGGCCTTGCAGCTTCAAAGCCTGGCTGCTTCCTGCCTGGAGGAATCTATTGTTGGGAGGATTCCAGTCAGTGTGTGATTTAATCGTGAGAACTAGGAAGGATGGCTACAAGATCAGCTGTACTATTAGCCATACTGGGCACTTTAGGGTTAAGAGACTTATAGTCGACACGCAAGGTTTTGAAAAAGCATTTTCAAATTTTAGAGTACATTGGGCTTCTCCATCATCTTCTGAGTAAGACTAAAATATTCATTTGAACTTGACACTTGATGGTTTCCGTGTTGATGAACCCACTCTGGATTTAAACCAAACTAGTGAGGAGCTATCCAAGAATCCTCAACCTATCTGTATTTACGGTAAATTCAAAACAACCTATTGTTATTGTTCAATGTATTGGCGAAGGCTTTCATGGCCGGAATCACTGGGTTGTTGTAGGTTTTCCGGGCTATATGGCCATGTTCTAGAGACATTTTCTCCTGACATTTCGCCTGCATCAATGGCAAGCATCCTCAGAGGTAGTGAGGTCTGCTGGAAGTAGGAAAATGCGTTTATATATCTGTGGAAAGACCAGGGTGGGACAAAGGACTTTTGTCTGCTGGAGCTAGGTGTGAATGTTTCAACTGACCACCTATTGTTATTGTTGTTTGTTTGTTTTGACGATTAATGTCTTCCACTTTGTTACTTTTGTCTGTAAACTGCCCTGACTCCCTTTGGTGAGCTAGGGCGAATTATAAATGAAGTATTATTATTACTAGGTTGCTGTAAGTTTTCCAGGCTGTCTGGCCATGTTCTTGAAGCACTCTCTCCTGATGTTTCACCCACATCTATGGCAGGCATCCTCAAAGGTTGTGAGGTCTTTTGGGAACCAGGTAAGTGGGGTTTGTATATAAACATTTGGAATGTACAGGGTGGAAGAAAGAACTGTTTGTCTGTTTGAGGCAAGTGTGAGTGTTACAGTTGGCCACCTTGATTAGCACTGAATAGCTTTGCAGTTTCCAAGTCTGGCTGCTTCCTGCCTGGAGGAAGTACTGACCACATAGGAAAGCGGATGAAGAAACCAACAAACAAACGGGCTACAGACCCACTAAGACAACCCAACCAATGCTCCGTTCAGCAAAGGACAAGAGGGATCCTCTCACCTCTGCAGGAGTCTACCGTATCCAATGCAGCTGTGGATAAGAAGTCTACATAGGGACCCCCAAACGTAAGAGCGTTTTCCAAGCATGAATCAAGGAACACAAAAGGCACTACAGACTAATCCAACCAGAGAAGTCAGCCATAGCAGAGCACATGATGAACCAACCTGGACAAAGCATATTATTGGAAAATGCAGAAATGCTGCACCACTCTGAAAACCACCATGTCAGACTACACAAAGAAGCCATTGAAATCCACAAGCATGTGGACAACTTGAACAGAAACCATGAAAATGAACAAAATCTGGCTACCAGTATTAAAAGAACTCTAAAATCAGCACTGTAAATAAAAAGCAACACTCAGAAAACGGGAATTCCAGACAGGAAACAATCAGGGCCAGTTAACACCTCCCAACAAAGGATTCCCCCAGGCAGAAAGCACTGAGGCTTTGAATGTACAAAGCCAAGCTGGCCAATTGCAACATTCACACTTGCCTCAAACAGACAAGACTTCTTTTTCCCACTCTGGACATTCCACAGATATATAAATCTCACTTGCCTAGTTTCCAACACACCTCACAACCTCTGATGATGCCTGTCATAGATGTGGGCTAAACTTCAGGAGAATGGATTCTTTCGCAGCTATTGCAAGCTGTAAAAAAATTGAGGTCTTTCTCAGATTTATAATGCCAGATTTGTATGAAACCAATATATTTTAATTTTTTGTACGAGCCTCAGTTTTGCAGTCATGTGTTGTTATTTTCTGAGCACTTTTGGTTCAGCATCTTAGTTCCTGCTAAAGTTTGTTGTTATGTGTCTTTGTTCCCAACTTAATGGCCACAGCAACCTTCTATTTCAAGGTGACAAACAAAAACAGTCAGATTTCCTATACTTGCGACGGAATTCCATGGTTAATGGAATTCTTTCTTTTTGTGTAAGTTAATGTATCATCACTTCCCCAAGATGAGATGATGTCAGGATTACTCAAACCATATCATGCGGGGAAAAATAGTAATAGGGAAGTGTGACTCCAACACACATATTGGAAACTGTATTGTTGAGCACATGATTTGTTACCATAGACCAGTGTTTCTCAACCTGGGGGTTTGGACCCCTGGGGGG